TTACGCCTGGTTAGCAGTAAACCAAACCTACTTTGGTGTAATTTAAAAATCTTATTATTTTTCCGATAAAAAGACAGTCTATCAGGAGCAGCCAAAATTGGCCAAAATCGTGACTTTCAAATGCAATTTTAAGGCACTTAATGAATGAAATTAATAATTTTAATTAATGCTTTGTGTAGACTAAAGTACAATCTTTATACCAAACCAAAAAAAATACAAATTTATCATCGTCTTCATAGTTAAAATCAGCTTCAAAGTTGGCAATTTTTCAAACTTCAATTTGGTACCAAGGGCAGAAGAATTTTTTTTTCGAAAAACTTATTTCATATTCGGTATCAGCGCCTCGAAAACTATCAGAATCGGTCAAAACATTTTGAAAATCGCGAAAAAAAGTTTTCATTTCATTAGTAAAATTTTGATTTTGCAACCAAAGATTTCGATTTTCGGGGGGTGTATGTAGATTTATCCAAAAACGGATAATATTTTCGAAATCAGCATCCCAAAATCAATCAAAACCAATCATTTTCCAATCATCACATTTTGAAAATCGCGGAAAAAAGACGATTTTTTTAAAAAAAAAATCGATTTTGCAACCAAAGATTTTGATTTTTGCGGGGTGTATGTGGGTTTATCTGAAAATAGATAGCATTTTTAAAATCAGCGTCCGAAAATCTTTTGGAATCAGTCAAAAAAAATCCAAAATAGCGAAAACAAATCTATTTTTTTGCTAAAATTCCGATGTTGCAACTAAAATTTTTGTTGTTTTCCAGTACACGCCCTGAAAGTTCATCAAACAGGATAATTTCGTCCTTGGCTTAATAAAAAATCATCCAAAAATTTTGTCCAATAAGTTCTTGATCATAAATTTCTTTTAGTATAGGGGAGACCCAGATTTTATGGTTCCTGTTCCTATAAGTGCATAAGTACCTGTGAAAAGAATAAATATTTATTCTAAAGATATACATTTAAAATAAGATTATTTGTTACTTAATACCAGACTAGTAACAATAAGTAAGCTTTGAATATTTTATTTGAAAATAAAACCACAAAAACTTAGTGAAAAAATAAAAACATTCGAATAATTTGTGGGTAAGTACAGCCGAATAGTTACATCATTTATGTTAATCGAATAACTTGATATCATTTCCAAAGTTTAAAAAAAAGCTCTTAAAACAATCCATGGATAGTATTCATCGATTCAACTTCAAATAAATCATTTATTATAATCGAATAATTTGATATCATCACTGTACTTATAACAAAAGCATGAATAGCAGTCTTTGCTTTTAATATGGTTTATGATTTATAAATCTAAATTTTATCTATTTTTTACCAATATAAATAAATTAAAATGCCTAGAACAAAATTTTCAAGTTGTTTGGTAAAAATTACACGAAATTTTAGTATCCAACTCTATGTACTAGTTTGTACTAGATTCTAGTGAATTTGATATAGTTTTTACTAATGTAAACAAATTAAAGTGCAAACAAATCTCCGAAAAGAAAATTAAAAGTTATTTGAAGAAAAGTAAAAGAAAGTCCCAAATCTGCATATTACGTTTAAATTTGCGTTTCAACGAAAATTGTTCAAAATTTTGATATGCAAGTATATAACACAATTTATACTATGTGTTAGTAAATTTCATATAGTTTATACTAGTATTAACAAATAAACATGTTCTGAACATAGTTTTAAAATTATTTCACAAAATGTAAAAAAACATCCAAAATTCACATATAGCCAATTATCAAACTCAAATCTGCGCTTCAACTACAAATTATTCAAAATTTTAATATAAAAGTGAATTTAACAATATACATTAAATTCTAGCAAATATTATCTAGTTTATACTAAAATAAACATATAAAAGTGTCCAGAATAAAATTTCCAAAATATTTGACAAAATGTAAAAAAATGTTCCAAACTCGCATATTGATTGCAATTGAATAAAATTTGTTTGATACAGCATAATTATACTGTTAGGTCGCTAAAATCATTATTCTGCTTTTGAATGATATTTTAAAGTATCCCAATATTAAAAAAAATGTTGGTAATTTAATTTTGTGCAAATTTTTTAAACAAATAATTTTTATTTTATCAATTAAATTAATTAATTAATTTTTTTTATTTATATATTATTTTCATATCTCAGTCAGACAGGAGTTTCTGATGAGAGATGTATATGAGAGAAAAAACAATTTTCTTATTTAATTGAAAATGGTACATATGATTCAAAAGAAAAAACATTACTTACAAAGAGCATTTAAGAATTTTGACCCTTTTATGACATAAATATTGAAATATTGATAACAACTGCACTTTTAATAAATATTATTAACACGACAATTAATACACAAATATTTGTTTTCAAAGAAAACATTCAAAAACGTAATTCCTTGTATAAAAAACACACTCTTTTGAAATATTTCTGACTTTAAGCAGTTTTGAAAAAGTAAGAAAAAATAAACTAAATGCGACCTGTTCTACTTGATTAATTTAAAGATATCTATCCACGGATTTTTTCACCAAGCATTTGAAAACACATTTGGAAATAAACCTGTCACAACAGACATTTTCAACCCGAAAACAACTGTCAATTTTGACGTTTGACGTTTGCGTTTAACCTTTAACAATCTAATTCACTTTTGACGTTTAAAGTAACAAATTCATCATGTATTAATCATTGTTTTGGACTTGAATGAATATCATAATGTGTTGAAACAAATATTTGTTTCGAATTATGCCCAACAGTTTGCCAAAATATTTATAAATACATAAACACGAACCACAGTCCCTTAAAATTAAAATATCAAATATTATTTTGTACTTACCTAAATCATATTTTCGCAAAAAACACACTTCAACTTAAATTCTATTTAAATTTATGATATGAATAATTGTTATTATATTGTCTAAGAAGTCACTTGTTCAACCAAGTACTTGACAGCACAGACTGTTGATATATTTCAAAAATATTTACCACAAAAATTAAACATAGAGCACAGAATATATATTTATATAGACTGGTAACACAGTTTTTAGTATCAACCTATTAGCAGGAGCATAGTTTTTTTTTTTCTATTTTTATTATCTGAATTGTTTGTATCATAAAGTTAATTAAGAAAACAACATTTGTAAATTTTAATACGCACATAAATTTATTTCATCATAATTACACAAATTATATAAAAATAATAATTACTAATTAAATAAAATATACAAAATATTTCTAACATCCCTCTCGCCATTGATTACTTACATGCAAAAATGTATATGATAATAAAATTATTTAAATCCGCAATAATAACAAAAAATTCATGATTGAATAAATAAAAGTAATAAAAAGCATATATACACATTTACATTATTTGATTTTTTTGCATAAAGTGCATAATTCACTTCAAGTGTTTTATTACAAAAAGTTGTTTTTACAAAAGTTTGTGTCTGATAATGGCACTTTCGAAACGTCGTGCATAACATTTTTTCAAATTTTTCATATTGTATATATATTTATATGCTTGTATCAACTTCATCGTCCAATACACACTTCCGATGTCTATTCTTGTCTTTTTGTTCCGGTTACGCCTTCAATGTCCTGACGGAACTTCCGGGTTTCCGGGGTGTCAGGCGCACCTTGAATCCTTCGGCTCGTTTCAGGATGATGTCGGCCTGAAGCCTGATGTACTTTTCGATTAATTACGAAGACTATGAAGTTATGAAGGAAATTATGAAGGATCGTCGACATTGCGTATTTGCGACCTGGAAGAAAAGAAAATATACGGTTAGGCTAAGTTTTAGAGTATTCCGATTTGTTGTAGTATGTCGTGGTGTTAGACAATGTTGAAGGTAATTTAATTTTGGACAAGTTTTTCGAATGTTTCATTTATTTTGCACAAACGATTTACAAGAGCTGTTATATGTACTCGCCTACACAACTCCTTGGTCAGCCGAGAACAGTACGAAGGCGTAATAGTGCCTATTGACAGTTCGCTCCGGAAGAAAGTTGTCCGGATCGAACACGTCCGGATTCGGGAAGTGTTCCGGCATCCTGTGCATTTTGTATGTTCCGACCAGAATCTAAAATATAAAAAAAGAATATATATTGTTGAAATGTTTATTTGCAACCAAATAGTCAAAATAAATGGGAATAAATAAATAGCTATTTATTGTGCACGTTTCGACACAGTATGCGTGCCATCATTCATGCCAGAATTTGTTGTCATATCCAATAAACCTGTTTTGAACCATGACTTGTGGGTACTCTGGAAACTTCATTTTTCACAACTCAACTGATGGTACAAATTTCAAAACCAAAATGTCTATCAGTTTAGAAAAAACCTTAAGTGACGGTTACATCGTATTTTGAACTTAAGCATGTGGGTACACAAAAAAACACAACTTTTCACGACTAATCTAAAGGAGCAAATTTTAGAACACTATCTAGCAATCGCAGAATTTTTATTTAAACGTCTATGTCAGGAGAGTTTTTTTCTTACATAATCTTTCAAGTAAAAATCATTGTACGTATCATTTTACACTTTTCGTGAGCCTATAATACTTTACTCTTTTACCTAATTTTAAGTCTTTCTTAATCTGTCTGGCAATGTTGGGTACTGGTAAGTACATCCTCAAAATCTCCATCAAACATCTTTCCAAATATTTAATTTCTAAAGTGTCTTGGAATGTTGCTGGTCTGTCACTGTCTCCAAATATTTCGTCCAGTTCTTGGATAACACGATCCTAAATAGAAAATTTTATATATATATATATATATATATATATATATATTTATTTATTTATTTATATTTACCTGGATGTGTTGATGGATTCCCATCAAAGACAAGAAGAAGCTGCTGCCTGCAGCGTATCGTGTCCCTGAAAATTAAAAACAATATTTTATAAAAATTTGATTTTTAATTTTCTGCAAGTTGGTACACTCTATCGTCATATATATTTATCGAAAACATGATAGTATCAACTTGTTCCTTGATATCGGTGTCAGAGATGGCAACTCGGTTCTGTTCGGCCAAACGTTTCTATGCTCCAACATCATTGTCGTCGACGTCCAAATCGTCCTAAAAAATAAAAAAAAAATAAAATTAAATTAAAGTATTTTAAAATCTTTGGACACTAGGCGAGTAACATTTGATACTAACAATCTTACACTTTCGACGCATTAAACGCACTGCATATAGTGACGCCAAAAATTTCAGCGCGACGGCAAAATATTGAACAAAAAATAATCCCCACTCCTTTGTTTTGGAGCATATAAAACCTGACTTGGAGTCTAGAATCGTCACTTTTATTTCTGGAAGTCGAGGGACAAGATCATACCTATCATGGAGGACGGATTTAACACCGAAGAACTTTTGTCAATATTGCCACTAGTTGGACAAGGGATAAGCACTGAAGAACCAGTACCAGAATAACAAAGTACGTAATTAAGTTTGTAATAATAAAGAAAAAATAAATTGATATATTTATAATACATTAATTTTGTGTGTGGATAGCCACTGGTGTATATATTGGTGATCCCGACGAAGAAACATTGAAACCCAATAGATCAGGGCTTCTTAAAGTGGGGGTCGCGACCCCCAGGGGGGTCGCGAGACTACTAAAATGGGGTCGCAAAGGTTTCAATCATTATAAACAAAATTTTAAAATTAGGTCGACTATTTTCACGATAATTTATGGCTTCTCAAACTATGCTATTTGCAATCCATTTTCAATTGAAATGGAAGAATTTAATTTTTTAAACTTAAAAGCACAAGAAGAATTTACCGAATTAGCAAGTGATACTACCTTGCGACTCAGATTTTCTCAAGTGCGTGTGCATGAATTTTGGATTGAAATCAAATCAGAATATTCCCTACTGTCGGAAATGGCAATAAACAAATTACTGCCATTTTGTGCAACATATTTATGTGAATCAGCCTTTTCTACATCAACTTAAATAAAATCAAAATACGTTTCCAATAACTTTAATAAACGTTGAAAATTTATTATGATCTGCACTAACTTAAATTGAGCCTAGATTTAATTATTTGTGTAAAAATAAACAATCACATTCATCACATTAATATTGATTGATGTTAGAAATAGGTTTTCATAAAAAAATGTTACAAAAGTTTATTTTTTCTATTGAATATGTAGATATAGTTTTATGTTTTCTTATAAAGAATTTGTTACAAAAGTTTATTTTTTGTATTAAATATATATATATATATATATATATATATATAGTTTTATGTCAACGTTTCCAATATATTTTATTATTTGGAGGAGGGGGTCGTTTAAAATTTCCTAAGCTTGAGGGGGGTCGCTATACAAAAAAGTTTAAGAAGCCCTGCAATAGATAACATTAAGAATTTGTAGAAAAGCAGTGCAGTATTGTGAACAAAGTTGCCATCAATTTCATTCCAGGACCAACCTGGCATGATGTCAATGGTGTCCAACCTCACCGAGGTAAAATATTTAAGGACTATGAGAAGTACCTTAATTATAAAAATTACAGTATGCACACTCTCTAAAGTTACTTATGTATTATATATGCACGAGTAAATAAAATTAATGATGTTTTATTAATTTTACAAATTTCAAAATATATTTTTACATAATTTACATTAACTTCTAAATTTTATGTTAATAACAATAATTATTACATATAGTCTACAAGAAATTTGTGATACGTGTAACATATTAATAAAATAATGTTGCATGCATCAAATAAATTTTTTATAGACATTATTGTTATTAACATGAAAGTTATCAGTCGAAGTAAAATATTTAAAAATATTTTCAGAAATTTGTAAAATTATTAAAGCATACTCAATAAAATATACTTATGCGTATATGGAAATAAATAATTTTAAAAACAGTTTGCGCAAACCTTATATAATTTTTGTAATTACACCAGATTTAATATGCCTCTAGTATTTTAACTTAGTATGTTTAGACACCAAAACTATCGACGTACCAAATTTAACCTAAATATTTTAACATATTTATTATATTTTAACTTTTTGACTTACAAAATATCATTTCATTCTTTGTATTTTATAAAAAAATAAAACCAAATGTTTTTGCTTTGCCCTTGATTTAAATTTTAGTACTTAATTATTTTTTTGATTCACTTTCAGGACAAAATTTGTATATTATGCATTTTTAAAATGTTTAAAATAGAATTTGTTTATAATAATATAAACAAATATATTTTGTTCATAAATTGCAAATACTTCATGAATTCTTGTGTATGAATTAGGAATAATATTGCAAGGTGCATGTGAGCGCGGTACTATAGTAAATTGCCGATTTTACTAGCAACAAATCCTTGTTTGTATTTTTTAAATTTAATACATATCCTAAGGAATAACCAAGTGGTAAATATTCAATACTTAAGTATTAATTGTATAAACATGACAAAATATTAAAAATGTACTTTGCGCATATTCGAGCCTGGAAGCTGTATTTGCTAAAAAATGATCAGGATTCCCGACAATATGTATCAAATATTTCATAAATAATTTAAATCGGCTGATACGACTCAAATCGTCGACAAAACCTTGTAAGCGCACAAACACATTCATACATACATTTTTTCTAAAGTATCCCAAAATGTAAACAATTTCATTTACAATTTTTGTGCTTACTATAATTTACACTACGTGAAAACAATAGAATTATAAAAATTTAAATATTTTATGTGAAATTTATTTTGTCTTAAAGACGTCACCATGTAGAGAATTAATAACAATATTAATGTTTAGAGTAACATCGAAAAAATTATTTATATTTATAATACCTGTATACTATGATATGCTTTTCGGTATGTATCAGTCAAATTGATATGGAATGATATGAATTGATATGGAACTACAAATAGAGTTTAATTAGTCTTATTCGAAATTTTAATCGACATCTCACAATATTTAAAGATACAATTTTACTAATATACTTAATCTTTGCAATGCTTGACTCAGTAATGAAAAACGTCTGTAATTATCAAAGTGTTGTTTTGTTCATATTTAACATTTAATATTCGTTCCACTCTTATCACAAAATTATATATATATATATATATATATATATATATATATATATATATTATATAATACATATTTATTTTTTTCCAGTCTCCCAAAACAGTTTACTTCTTAAGTAAAATATCACCAGACATTAGCTCGGCCATCAACAGTACAACGCCATATCCAATTTTCATCGGAACCAAATTTAAGAGCAGTTGCATGTTTCACCAAAGTAAATCATAATATATATAACAATTAATTAATAATTAATATTGATTAATATTAATATGTACTATAAATATTAACTATTTGTTAGATAAATAAGGATTTACTACGACCACTCACATATAGAAGCTTTATGTCACAGCGATCGATACTCAGAGTTTGACTGGAACTGTGATGTATCATTTTACATATAAGTGATAATAATAATAAATTTATATATATATATATATATATATATAAATTAAATATATATATATATATATATATTTATTTATTTCTTTTGAAGGTAGTGATCATGATTATTTATACACTGGAAAATTGTGCATAACGTCCAATATTTTAAACAGTTCATACATCAAAGATTTAGGGGAGAAAGAACAGATTGATACTTTAATTTGTGACAGTTCTATTATTGATGTTCCTGTTGATTTTAATGTGCAAAATGCTGCTGATAAGATTGAAAGTATCATCAGGTACAAAATAAAATTTAGTGAAAATTAATTGGAATTGTGGTCTTCAATCTTATTAGCTACTAAAATTTGGTATAATTTTTAACTGCTTTTAACTGCGAAATTGTGTCTGTCCACATTTTATCAAACAACTTGAAAATTTTGTTCTAGACACTTTAATTTATTTATATTAGTAAACAATAGATGAAATTTACTAAATTTTAGTAAAAACTTTTATATACACTTGAAAATAAATAGATATTTTTATCACATTTAAAAAAAACAATTACAACTATACAGTGTGTTATAATATATCATTATAATAACATAAGGCCATTCGTTATTTTAAAACATGAAGGGATATTCTTAAATACATTGATAAAATAAATTAATGAGAATTGATTTAAATATTTATTTGAATTTATTATAATTTTTTTATTTATTTATGAAAAACATGTTTGATATAAATATATACTATTGATATTAAACACTAAAATTTGATATACTTTGATATACTTGTTTGATGATTACTTGTAACAATTTAAGTAGTTTAAAATTGTATAAAAAAGTACCTCAAAACGCTATTTGATACATAAATAAAAAATATCTTCGTAATTTAATACTAATGTTAATAACAAATTATTTAAAAGTCTCAACTGTATAAAAAAAACGAATAATTGACTGACTAATTGATTTAATATGATAAATTAATTAAGAAATGCTTAAATATTGAATTATTCATTTTATCCATACATTCTTTTCAATATTTACAATTTTGTATTTTACAAGTATTTATTCTTATATATTGTATAAGAAATAGTCAAAGATAAAATAAATATCCAAATATATTGAAAATATAAACTGAAATGTTTCTAACAAATTTGTAATTAAAATTTTGATTTTAGGAATTATTCAAACATGAAAATAGTTATTAGCATGGATACTTTTGGAATGGAAGATTTGCTATTTGAAATAGCCTGTCGAGGATACCCTGTATACACTGGGTGTTCCAGAAATGCTTTTTTGAGAATCCAAAATGCTGATTCATATTTTACAACTTCTAGAGATGCTGTTTTAAGAGTTGTCAATAAAGCATTTTGTGTGAACATCGATGATGTCACAGGTAATAGAAATATGAATAATATTATATATATATATATATATATATATATGTATGTATGTATGTATGTATTAGGGTGGTCCTTAATATGGACAATTTCGAATTTCTTTTCTCCCAAGGGCTCAAATGCTTCTAAATTAATTTTAACAAAATCTTTCGTCATGTTTTTGTTCCAAAAGTTGAAAATCGTTGTATGCAGTTATGTAGAGAGTTTTATAAGCTTTTTAATGATATAAAGCAAAATTTATGTGCTGTAACAAGTTTTTCCAAGCATTTGAGTTATACGAGTTCAAAGTTTGACGACTTTCTCCGTCATGTTTTTGTTCCAAAAGTTGAAAATCGTTATATGCAGTTATGTAGAGAATTTTATAAGCTTTTCATACATGTAAAATAAAATGTATGCGCTTGAACAAGTTTTTGCACAATTTAAATAAATGTCGAAAAAGGTGCTTGCAAATCAATTCTTGTCGATTAAGCTGAACCACCATTCTGGAATTATATAATAAATTAATACACAAAAGTACTCTTCATTTAGTAATTGTGATACTTACTTTTATATGTTCAATATCTTTTTCGGAAAATTTCTCTCGTGGACCTCCTAAAATGAATATTTTTGCTCTTGTTAAATTTCTCTCGTTCATTTCGTCCTTGTTACTGAGGAAATAAATTTCATACATTAATTCGCGAGTATATTAACAAATTTGTAGAATGCTGTTCTGCGACCAATAACAATGCTCGAAAATTGGCTAATTAATTTCGTTTGTTTTCGTTTCCTTTCGTTTCCTTTCGCCCTTTTCGCGTAGGTTATAAATAGGAGTGCGCAAATACCGTCACCTCGGGTGGCGCTGAAAGCCCCCGGGGCGCCAGACCGGCAGCTCCCTTTGGAGCTGGAGTGGTCAGGAACCCCGGGGCATCCGCCGGAGACTCCCGGCCGCGGAGGCTCCGAGGCACGAAGACTCCGTGCCACGGAAACTCCGTGCCTCGGGGACTCCGTGCCACGGGGACTCCGTGTCACGGAGACTTCGGGTCATGGGGACTTCGTGCCACGGGGACTCCGTGCCTCGGAGACTTCGTGCCACGGAGACTCCGGACACGGTAGTAAAATCTAATTTCGACACCATAAAAATACAATTTGAATCGACTTCGCCGCAGTCCCGCAGTTTCCCCTGACCACTCCAGCTCCAAAGGGAGCTGCCGGTCTGGCGCCCCGGGGCTTTCAGCGCCACCCTAGGTGACGCTGGCGCCGGCCGCGGCCGACGACTGCCACGAATTCCTTCGCGCACTCCTATTTATAACCTACGCGAAAGGGGCGAAGGAAACGAAAAAAAAACGAACGAACAATATTAACTAATAACATACGTCATTTTCGAGCATTGTGATTGGTCGCAGAACACATTCTATAAATTTGTTAATATACTCGAATTAATATATGAAATTTATCTCCTCAGTAACAAGGACGAATATACGAGAGAAGTTTATCAGCAGCAAAAATATTTATTTTACGAGGTCCCCGAGAGAAATTTTCCGAAAAAGAAATTGAACACATAAGTAAATATTACAATCACTAAATAATACTTTTGTGTATTAATTTATTATCCATTCCAGAATTATATCAACAATGGTGGTTCAGCTTAATCGATAAGAATTGATTTGCGAGCACATTTTTCGACATTTATTTAAATTGTGCAAAAACTTGTTCAAGCACATACATTTTATTTTACATGTATGAAAAGCTTATAAATTCTCTACATAACTGCATATAACGATTTTCAACTTTTGGAACAAAAACATGACGGAAAAAGTCGTCAAAAGTTTAATAAAATTGCAAACATTAATGAAAATGGTTATACATTTTCTCACATTTGTTTGAATTGCGCAAAAACTTGTCAAACACATAAATTTTATATTATATAGATAAAAAGCTTATATAAATTCTCTATATAAGTGCATATAACGATTTTCAACTTTTGGAATGAAAATATTACGAAAAAAATCATCAAACTTTGAATTCGTACACTCAGCAAAACAAATGTTTTATACATTTTGTGGCATCTGTTTAAAATGTGCAAAAACTTATTAAAACACATTAATTGTATTTTATATGAATGAAACGTTTATAAAATTCTCTACATAACTGTATATAACGATTTTCAACTTTTGGAACAAAAACATGACGAAAAAAGTCGTCAAACTTTAATAAAATTGCAATCATAAATGAAAATGGTTATACATTTTCTCACATTTGTTTGAATTGCGCAAAAACTTGTTACAGCACACAAACTTTGTTTTATAAAGATAAAAAGCTCATACAATTCTCTACACAACTGCATTTACCAATTTTCAACTTTTAGAACAAATACATATATGGGTCACCCTAATATATATATATATATATATATATATATATATATATATATATATATATATATAAACAATGTGATTTTATTTGTTTCAGGCGTTATATGAATAAAAACATAATAACAATAATACCATCAGCAATGTATTCTGTTAAAGAAACGTTGGAGAAAAGTTGGTGTACACATTGTTAACTATGAAGATCGGTCAACTGCACAAGCTTTGTAACATTTGATCAAATTGGTTAAACCGATTCGTCTAAAAAGTTCTACCAAAGGTGAAAGTTTTAAATTGAAAACTTATGGACGGTTATGTAGAAGACCAAAAGTATTCCCAAGACTGTCTGAGACTTCAATACATTGTAATGATGATCAGAAGGAGTTACAAAGTGATGTTTTGTTAAATGAAATTGCTGAAGAGAAAACTCAATTGCTGAACCAGTTAAGCAAGAAGATGTCAAAGTACCAGACGTCCTGGTAAAAATCAGCAGCTCGAGCGATCTTAATTTAGATTCCCTTACATCATACTTCAACCACCAACAACCTGGTCCAAACGATCCCTACATATCACTATCAAATGATATTCTTTTAAAAAGTAAACCTGAAGAAGTTCTTTCTAATCGTCAAAAGATGGTAAAGCCAACAACAAAAAGGCTGCAGATAGTTTAGCAGCTTTAGCAATTGCAGCTTTGAAGCCTTTTCAAAAAATGCATTTGTTTACGAAGCATAATTGCAATTCATGGATGATAATTTTATTGATCCTGTAGAGATGAGTAAAAATTTATACAGGTTTCATATACAGCACCATTTGGATTGTATAAAAAATTGAAGGAAGAGATGGGTAAAATTGGCGGTAAGAGGAAAAGAACTGGGTAGTAGATATATGTTTATTTATTTATTTATTTATTGAGATTGTAAAAAAGTGTTTGAAAATTTTTATTATATTGTAGTATACACAGTGCAAATATTTTATATATGTATAAATTTTTTTATATATTTTTAATGTTGATGCAGTAATATAAACCAATATTGATGAAAATAATAAAGAAATAATTTACAACATTATTAATGATGCTGAAGGGTTTTTAAATGCATTTGTTTACGAAGCATAAATTGCAATTCATGGATGATAATTTTATTGATCCTGTAGAGATGAGTAAAAATTTATACAGGTTTCATATACAGCACCATTTGGATTGTATAAAAAAATTGAAGAAGAGATGGGTAAAATTGGCGGTAAGAGGAAAAGAACTGGGTAGTAGATATATGTTTATTTATTTATTTATTTATTGAGATTGTAAAAAAGTGTTTGAAAAATTTTATTATATTGTAGTATACAGTGCAAATATTTTATATATGTATAAATTTTATATATTTTATATGTGCAGTAATAAAAATATTGATGAAAATAATAAAGAATAATTACAACATTATTAATGATGCTGAAGGGTTTTTTAAATTAAATTAAATTTATTTATATATAATATATATAATATATATATATTATATATAGATGTATATTTTTAAAAATAGAATACACACAAATATTGAAAATTATTTATTGGTTTATTATTATTATACAACTATGTTACCAGTCTATAAATATATATTTTATAACCTATGTTTAATTTTTGGGTAAGAATTATTAAAATAAATTATTCAGTCTGTGCTGAGACTTGCTTGGACAAGTTTCTTTATAATAATAATAAATTTACAAATCACAAATTTAAATAGATTTAAAGTTAAAGTGTGAAAATATGTTTTAAGTAAGTGCCCAATAATGTTTTATATATTAAAAGTGGTTTAGGCTTATTCATAAATATTTTGACAAACTGTTAGCATAATTCTAATTAAATATATTTTTTGCTTACATTGTAATACTTATTCAAGTCCAAAACACTTTTTAATAGATGAATTAATCACTTTAAACATTAAATTTAAATTATATTGTTTTGAGGTTAGAATTGTTAAACGTCAAACTTGACAGTTGTTTTTAGATTAAAAATGTCTGTTGTGACAGGTTTATTTTTAAATGTGTTTCAAAATAGTTAATTAATTAAATAAATGTTTAATAATCAAGTAGAATAGTTCCAATTTTATGCGTTTTTTCTTACTTTATTATTATTATTCAAAATCAGAAATATTTCAAAAGAGTGAAGTAATTTTTGTTATTGTTCAAACAAAAGGTGTGTTATTTATACAAAGAAATTAGTTTTTAGATGATTTTCTTTGAAAAATATATTAGTATATTTTCTTTTGTGTTAATAATAGTTATTATAAGTGCAGTTGTTATTAATAATTCAATATTTACATCATAAATGGGTCGAAAAATATTTATATGCTCTTTGTAAGTAATGGTTTTCTTTTAAATCCTAAGTGCCATTACTAATTAATAATTGATAAAATTAAAATTATTCGTATTATATATATTACATTAGTATTATGTCAATGCAAATTTATAGGGACAATAACATTTATGTTACATACTTAGTTTAGTATGATATTGAATCAAGTATTATTTACAGATAAGAAAAGGTGCAGTAAATATTGATTGATTTGAAAGAAAAAATTAATGGAAAGAATAATCTAAATCAAATCAACGTCGAGAAAACCAAGTCGGAGTATCTGTCGAAAACATAAACTTCTCGTTTAGGAAGTTATTAATATAATCTCAACTTCTTGAAGCTTGAGTTATAGTTAGTAATCGCAAAAAAACAAAAATGAATATTTTGGCGTACCCTAGAAAAAATTGATGTGTGTATGTGCGGATACAAAATTTAGTGGCCGATTTTGGGAACACGGATCAACCGATTTGTATAATTCATTCGATTTGTATTAATGGAAAATCGTGTTGATTAGTTTTTGACTAAGGCAGATACAGCCGTTTCGGAGATACGGTGCAAAAAAAGGCAAAAACGATTATTCAGTTTTTGAGAGAACGGAGTCTTCGATTTGAATGATTCAAAAACATATTTGTATTGACAAAGTGAAAAAGTGATTAAATTTTTGGGAAGGCAGTTCCGGCGGTTTCGGAGATCCAACAGAAAAGTAAAAAGATATTTAGTGGTAAAAAATAATCATTAGACATATGAACATCAAATTATCAGATATAATATAGAAATTTTATTAACACTTTGAGGACGGCTGTCCACCTCAGTGGACAAACATACTCTGTGAAACACAGGCTATTTTAGAAACAATGACTCAGTTTGCATCGAAAAGTTGAATAAATCACATATAGCAAAAAACAGTATTGTATTTTGAAAATAATTTTAAGTCATTTTAGTAGTATTTTTAGCCTTTTTCTTTGCTATATGGCCTTTTTTTAAATATTTAAAACGACCGAGAGCTTTTAAATATGGCAAAACGACTGGTGAATTTTGTGAGTTAAGCAGTAGTGAAGATGAGTTTCAAATAGACATTCATACAGACAAATTTTACGAAATTACTATTCGCGCCAATGATAGTGATGAATGTGATGATGATATTATCCAACCAACAAAAAGAAGAAGTTCGACAAAATAAATGAAGAGCAGGAAGACATTAGCAAATGTGCCGATTCTCCTTCAATAATCGAGTTTGACATACATTAACAAACACCCCGACTACAAATATCAAGCAATATAAGACATCCAATAGATTATTTTACTTTATATTTTATAAATGAATTATTAGACAATATAATAGAAAAAATAAACCATTATGGCAGCAAAAAATGACCAAATATACTGACTAATCAGTGGCATATTCTAAATGCGAGTGAAAGAAAAAGGGATTGTATTGTCTGTTCTGACAGAAAAGCACCAGGAGGAAGTCGGCGAACAACATTTTATCGTAAAACATGTCAAAATCAACCAGCTATGCATTTTGGAAATTGTTGGTTTAACCGTTAGACTGCAACGCGGCTGCGCGGATGTGCTGCAACTTAAGCGCAATTGCTTAGATTTTTTTTATTTTGATTTTTTTTTGAAAATTTGATTTTTCTTGAAATTTTAAAAAAATTGGACGTTATAAAAAATTAGATTTTTTTAATTTTAATTTTGATTTTGATTTTTTTGAAAAATTTATGAAAAATCAAATTTTCAAAAGAAACAGTCCAATTTTTCATATAAGTCTTTTTCATATAAATAAAAAATTTCAAAATTTTCAAAAATCTAATTTCTATAAAGTTTTTAAAAAAATATAAAATTCTAAATGTAATTTAAAAAAAATAAGTTACGGTAAGGAAAGTTTCAGTGATAAAAAAATATATAATTAAAAAATTTGATTGCGAATCATTAAAATTGTTATGCGCCCCAGTTAAAGCATATATAGGCAAGCGAAGCGTATATAAATACACAGACAAAGCCCCACCTGATCTTTATCATATTGTAGAGAACGCTAACTTGTTCAGTTTCATTCGCCGAATGTATTCGACGTAGTAAGAACGGCTTTCTATACGCGTTAAATAACTTATATAGTTAAAATAACATACCAGTTTAAACCGTTATATATAACATAATAATACCAATTTTATACCTGAAGTTTATTAGAAGTTATCGTGGTAAATAAGTATACTACAATACGACACGAGTGTGCATGGAAGTGAGGTTAGGTTTTCTAGCAAAATATTTCTTAAATATATTTACAATATTGTGGATAGATGAAAATAACCAGATAAATGTGTAATTTTTGTTAAATAGAAAAATATAGATATATTGTGATTGATTTTATATAATAGAGTTGTGTGTTAGTGGAAACTGCAAACATGAGAATGGCCAGCAATATAGTGAGTACAGTTTCGCATTTATTTATTTATAAATGATTAAATAAATAAAGTATGGCATTCATATCACATGAATATGAATATATATATATATATATATATATATATATATATATATATATATTGTATTGCATTATGCGTGTAAGTATTCTTTACATTATATGAATATTTTTTTTTATCAAGGTCATATATAGTCTAAAATATTATCTATATATATATATATATATATATATATATATATTATATATATATATATATAATATCCGTAATTTTATTTATAAACAAATTCATATTAAACAATTTTTTTTAAATTTATTACTGTAAACACAATTTATAACAAAAAACCTATGTAATGATTATCAGGTAATAACAATATAGGCAAAAAAACATTTCAATAATATATAAAAAATATAGATCTTTGATTTTTGAGGAAATTTCAGTTTGAAATGAATTACTCATTAAATATTGTATATAATACTATGATTAATATTATATATTTATTATTTTACTAGTGGGGTGCATGGCATCGTGCCTTAAGTCAAATTGCTGGAACTTCTCGTACCGTAATGAAATATTCGAGAAATTTTAAACGTTTTCAAATATATTATTACAAATACTGTAACTTTCATTATTTTTGCTATCTTGTTATATCTGAGCAAATCAAATGTAAATCATAAATCAATTTATCTCCAGAATATTAACAATCGTCATTTCATTTCGAATTCAATTTCAAAAAAAAAAAAAAAAATAGTTGCCTAATTTTCACAACGCACTTGGGTAAGCATTTGTACCAGAGTGGCGCTTAGACTGTGCTTAGTCTGGGCAATTTTTAAATTTTTAATCCAAAATTACAAAAATATTTTTTGAAAAAAAAAATTAGAAACAAATTTTTTTTTTCCAAAAGCAATTATTTTGTTGAAATAAGCAGAAAGTTCTTTGAATCATTTAAATCGGACGTTTAGTTCTCTCAAAAACTGCCATTTTTTAACATTTAGCTCTGTATCTCCGAAACCGCTGGGCCTATCTTTGCCAAAAACTGAATGTTTTCTCTCAAAAACTGTATTTCTATTTTCTGCATTCTTTGCTCCATATCTCCGTAACGGCTGGACCTGCCTTTGCCAAAAACTAATCAGCACATCTCTCTATCTAATAGGAATCGAATGTTTTTTAAACCATTCAAATCGGTTGATCCGTGCGCCCGAAAACGTGGACAAAAAACTGCGGACATACAAAACACACACGCACACACACACATCCATTTTTTCTGAGGTATGCCAAGATGTTCAGAAAACTTCAAAACGTCGAGAAATGCAAACATTTTCATTTTCGATTTTCGGCCCATTACTATAACTACCCTACGGGAAGTTAATAATTAAAAGTGAATGTTTGGTCGTCTTAATATGTTACACATATGTTTTATACATCTAGAACTTCGCCAGCTGAATATCAAGCAGTCTAATATCAAATTTTCACAATATGATTTCAAGTGTAAATGGGTAAGGCAATTTCTGAGAAATTGCTACAGCACCTTTATGCTTACCCTATTAGATGAACATAAAAACAGCTGTTGACCACCAGATTGCCCTTACAGCTTATAGAACAGGTAGTTCTGGTCTCTGTTAAAAAAATCATATACTTTTAATTAATCCAATGAATACTACTTTTTTTCTATAGCTCCTTAGTTGGTGATATCACCTTTAGACAAAATGTGTCAAGTATATTATAAACTAATAGTATTATCACAAATCAAACTAGATTTTTTTTTAATATTGATGAAAATTTTGAAAACGTTGTACTAACGTTTGTATAAAAAACAGCAAAACAAAATTTCGAGTCTATATAAATTCTTATTATAATGACTGGTTTCAGAACAGTACGAATTTTCTGAAAATAATCGGAAACTCTTAATAACGTAGTAACGTACTCTTAATAACGTAACTCTTAGTAACGTAACATAAGTCTTTAATATGAAACATAAAAGAAACTTTTAAGCTTCATTTTATTATTTTCATACCAAACCTTGCCAGATTAGATAAACGATGTTCGATTTGTTATTGAAATTATATTTATATTATATTATATCATATTATATTTAAAAGAAATGATGAATTCCTAGCCTCAATATTTCTACACATTAAACTCAAAGACGTAATTGTTTGGGCGATAATAAAAAAAAAACAACAAACGTAATAGACGCAAAGTTCTGCATGATTGCGATCTTGTTAAACTTTGACCTATTGATAAAACTGTAAAGTATTAAGAAGTGTATTGATAAGTTTATGTTCGCGATTGTAATCAAATCGTTACGGAATGAATACTGCCGATAATAAATAAAAAAACAAGTTTTTTTTAATGTTAGTACATTCATTTTTATATAAATTTTAATAGCGACCAGAACCACGTGTTTGCTATTGCGCACATTGTATTTTTCACGAAATAGCAACCCAGCGGCTAACCACTCTGTGTTTTTAATGTGCATATATCTAATAGTGTTGGCATATATATGTTGCTGCAATGCCCACGAAAGGTAAAATTTGCTTGAGATTACATTTGAGATCTATAACCTCCAATGGAAATAGTACTGCTGCCTAATATCGAGCTGGTCGAGGTTGTAGTCGAATGCGGGACTAGGTATTGCTTTGCTATATCCACGTTTCTAACCTTATCTTATATTTATTTGTTATAAAGTTGTTTAGATGAGTATAAACAAATTTGTTAATAGAGGTATCAGTGAAATAGATATGCTATGGTAAATTACATCTTGATATGATTTCCAAATTTTTCAAATGTTCTAACTACTTGCTCTTTTAAACAGATTTTACATAAACTCACCAGGGTTCCAGATTAAATTCCCAGCTCAGGTATATCAAGCGTAGCGAAATCCGTTATTTAATCCACAATATGATTTCTAGAGAAAATGTCCTTTAATTAGCTGCGAATAATTAAAATATATGGTTATAACAGAAAATAGATATAACGTCATTAGAAAGAAAAACCTCATTTTTAGTGCAAAATAATAATTTGATTCCAGATTATTCAATATGACGTATAATGAATTCGTTCATGATTGCTTGGGGAATTTTTATGCTTAATAGTATAATGAATCGACATTTAAACGATACATTTTTAAAGATTCGTGAAAAGCCAATATTTGGCATATATTTCCATTCGACAAAGATAAAGAATTGCGCATAATTATAATATACGATTTATATTATATAATACTTTATAATCCCTAAGACTTTTATTTTATCTAATGCATCCAATTGACGCACAAGTTGTACAATCACTTATCATACGTTGATAAAACTCAAGTACGTTATTGTTTTAGTGGAAGTTCAATGTTCATTTTTTGCGAAAAATTGTGATAATATGCTTATCTTTGACGAATTGCAGATTTCTTGGTACATGTATCTACGAACTCACCTTCTTATCTATATTGTTTTATGGAAAAAGATTAGAAAATTACATCATACAGATCAAATGACAAATGCGGAATTATACACAGAATATTATGTTAATCAATTAGTAGAAAATTTATTTATCAAACACACATTTTCCCTCAGTTTTATCATAATTAATATTTATAATATACGGAGTTAGAAAAATAGTTATTTATATAATATTTATCATAAGCAAATATTGCTTATTCGTTATATATGATAAGTTATCAATTGTAATGAAAATAATAAAGATAGTGGACGCAGAGGCAGGTCTGCAAACTTGATGCCCGACTAGATATTTATGAAAGTTTTGATTTTGATGAGTTTTTTAATCGTTAATCACATGACAGTAGTGAAGTATGGACATTCAATTGATTTGATAATTATTTTTAAGTGGATTTCACTTTATCTTGAATAAGTATAAATTTTCTCTAATAATAAAAGCCATATCCTCACTAAGAGTTTAATTCACTAATTATCGCTCTTATTATCGTAAACATTTCACTTTTTTTCAACGAAATCGTAAGCATTTCATAAATTTTCACAAATGATTAAAATTTTAAACTCTTCGCAGAGCACGAGCTTTGCCAAAATTTTAGAGATAACCTAATGTTCTATGAAAATATTAATTAGTTTTAGATTTTTAAAGTATTTGCTAATAATGATGAATGCACTCACTGGTCACTATCAATTGATTTTGTTATCATTCGTGAATAATTATAATATTATGTATAAAAAACTAGTGGGGTGTATGGCATCGTGCCTTAAGGCAAATTGCTGGAACTTCCCGCACCGTAACGAAATGTTCGAGGAATACTGATTGTTTTCAAATAGATTATTATAAAAATTCTAACATTGTCTAATATTTATAAGAATTATATAAACTGAATTGCAAAGTTGAAATTATTTATTTAAAGTAGGTATATTAGAACTATAGTCAAAATTAAAATAAAATCTGAATTATTTTCTATATACAAAAAAAAACTAAAAAAAAAAATGATACAAAATTTATTTTCCAAAATCAATTATTTTGTTAAAACAAGCTGAAAGTTCTTTGATTCATTTAAATTGGACGCTTAGTTCTTTCAAAAACTGCCATTTTTTGCACATTTAGCTCTGTATCTTTGAAATGACTGGGCCTGCCATTGCCAAAAACTAATAATCACTTCTCCCAATCATTACTAATTGAATGTTTTTTAGTTCATTCAAATCGGATGCTCCGTTCACTCAAAAACTCGATTTTTATTTTCTGCACTCTTTGCTCCGTATCTCCGTAACGGCTGGACCTGCCTTTGCCAAAAACTAATCAGCACATCTCCCTATCAATAGGAATCGAATGTTTTTTGGACCATTCAAATCGGTTGATCCGTGCGACCGAAAACGTGGACGAATAATTGTATCCTTACATACATACATACATACACACACATCCATTTTTTCTGAGGTATGCCAAAACGTTCAGAAACCTTCAAAACGTCGAGAAATATAAAAATTTTCAATTTCGATTTTTAGACGATTACGATAACTTACCCTACGGGAAGTTAAAAATAAAACATTGAAAATAATTTAGGAAAAAAAATCAACTTATTTACTTCTGACATCACATGCACAAGTAAGGAAGTTATAATGTACAGTGGATCCTCGTTAAGACCATTATGCTTCATATGATTTCTCGCATAATACGCCACTTTACGCCGGTCCTTGAATTTTGAAACATATTGCCCTTATCCCGCATAATACCCGCCTAAGAAACTTTTTTGTCCCAGTCCCAGAAAATCGTCTAAAACGGGATTTTACTGTATGTTGTACAGTGATTATATGACTTACAGTTCTGCGAATTTAATTTTTTGCGTATTTTTTATGAAAAATCGAACTTCATTTGAGGGGCATAGCACGTGCGCTACGTCACGTAGTTTCGTAGTATACAAATAATCGATTTTCCGTCTACGCGAAGTCTAAAGCACAAATGGACCAATTGCAGAGCGCTACGTTTTGGGGGCTCGTCTCACGCCATGTGCACGGCATTATGAATTATATATATATATATATATATATATATATATATAAATGCATACATACATACATACATACATAATACATTCATACTTGCAAATACATATATAGGAAAATGTACGTGACAGGACTGTCTATTCTAAAACTTAATGGATCCGCGAAATACGAAAAGTGCAAGTTTTTCATTAATAATCTAATGAAAATTATAAACAGTTATGAAATAAGACAGTTAAATGCCCACATACCGAAAATTTGCGTTGAAAGTAAAAGTGACTTTTAAGCTCGGATTTGTATGAATCGTTTCGTGTCCGTCACGTCAGGCAGCGTTCGGCAACCTTTTTACTCTTGTTAATAAATATTTAACATCCGCATAAATTAGGTATTAACGATAAACCTGAAAAAAAATATTAATCTTAAAATTAGATATATGAAATAAATAAAATAATTTGATTAATTCAAATTTTACTTTTAATAGGTTCTAATACCCTTAAACTATTGAAACATTATAAATGCAACATCAATTAATACTTGATTATTATGAAAAATATAATAATGGGCCGAAAATCGAAAATGAAAATTTTTGCATATCTTCACGTTTCAGGGTTTCTGAACATTTTGGCATACCTCAGAAAAAATGGATGTGGGTGTATGTGTTTTGTATTTCCCCGTTTTTTCGTTCATGTTTTTTGGGCGCACGGATCAACCGATTTGAATGGTTCAAAAAGCATTCAATTCCTATTGATAGAGAGATGTGCTGATTAGTTTTGGCAAAGGCAGATCCAGCCATTTTGAAGATACAGAGCTCAATGTACAAAAAATTACAGTTTTCAGAACTAAGCATCCGATTTGAATGATTCAAAAAACTTTTTGCTTGTTATGACAAAACAATTGCATTAATTATTTTACGTATTATAAATTATATTTGTAATTCAAAAATACTGATCTTAGTCATTGCATGTGCATTGGTATTGTATTACAATTATCGGAAAAACCGTGATCATGGAGATAAATACTGATGATTTAGAATATAAATTATGCTAACTGACACATGCTAAATCTGTCTTTTATGTTGATGGTTATGGTGACATCGAGTTCCACTTGAAAGTATAGATAAATATAGTGTAAAATTAATTCCAAAAATATAATAGATAATAATAATCCATTGTAAAACTTTCTTTAATTGAAAGACTTCATTACCACTCATTACTGTTTTTCCTGATCACTATTGCTTGTTTCTTAGTACTTAGGTCTTTGATCTCATTATCCAGTAAAGACTAAAATTACTTGGCCAATTTTGAACATTGGCCAGTAGAACATAATAATGATGTTTTAAAATAACATATTATTGTTATTGTTAAAACTAGATCTGTGCCAATGATACGCGATTACATTTATTATTCCATGACCTCGTGTGCAACTCGAGTTTTGCCAATATCGATCTAATCGAACTGACGCGACCTTCAAACAAGCGTTCTCGTAACTAAATTACTTGGACCATTTAAAAAAAAAAGGTCTTATATGATCGTGTAAGATATTATTTTCGTGCTATATATACATATTAATCGATGGTATTTAAAAATAAATTAGTATGTCATTGGATATACACCTTTCTTCATCGAATTGTATATAGGTCATTGTGTCATTAGATGTAATTTGGCTCTAAAGCAATTAAGAGGCACACAGACGAAAAAAGATGAAATTGTTAATTTTAGTCGTTATGTAGAACAGAAAGGCTTTTAACTAAATAAATGTGAATCATTTGCTTTAATTAAGTCTTTAAGAACCACTTTTTTTTAAAACTTGTTATTACTTTAGTGTAATTTATTGTACTAATTTGAAAAAAATGTGATTCATATAACAAAATTTACGTAAATAACAAATCACCTTATTGTAATGTTATTGGTTAATGACATCAAATTTCATTCAATTTTTGAAGAATTTGTAATTATAACTAATATGTTTACGAGGTAATGACCATATATAAAAAAACACCTCTTATTATTATAGATCTTGACGTAATTTCTAGAGACGTTGTACACCAAAGAGTGCACATACAAATTTTAAGAACTATAATACGATATTTTATATATATATATATATATATATATATATTTTATTTCAAATAAACATAGTATCTGCTAATCAATTGCCTGATATAATGTTTACTGTAGTATTTTATAAAATCGCAGACAGTTTTCCAGAAATCATCATGTACAAACTCGACATAAGCGGTATTTATGTACACAATCATATACTCTTACCAAGAAATGAGATAACTGTTCACAAACAAATAGATATCACATTTACTTAATATTAATTACATCCTGCACACAATCGCTAATTGATTCCAAAATAATGGATTTCAATTGAAAATTAATCCAATGATTTCACTTGACTACATCCTCATAGTTTTTGTTATTACTTCTAATAAGGCAGCATGCAACAGGCATGCTTGTTGATGACATGAGTGTCCTTTTGATGTTCTATATTTTTTTCTAATATCACATTTCTTTGAGCCCATTCTATAGAATTTATAGAAGCCTTCGATTATAGAATGAATTATAATTCATTCATTCTGTAATCGAAGTCTTTATATCTGTTTGTTTTTATTTGCAGATTAGGGAGCGATGTAACGAGCTCGTCCTATCAAATGAAAAACTTAAAGAAATAATGGTTCGATTAGACACCGAAATTCAGAAAGGTCTCTCTCGAAAACATCATGACTCGGCAATCGTGAAATGCTTCATCACTTACGTCCAGAACTTGCCAAACGGCGAAGGTAAACATAAACTTTCACCTAAATTCTACAAATGGGTTTTGCTTTATTAACAATCTTTTGACTTTCAGAGAGAGGCAAATTTCTGGCTTTAGATTTAGGTGGTACCAATTTCCGAGTGCTTCTGATAACCTTGGGAGAAAACCGTGAATTTCAAATGGCGTCCAAAATCTATGCAATTTCAGAATCAATAATGACGGGATCAGGAGATCAGCTATTTGATCACATAGCTGATTGTTTAGCCAAATTTATTAAGGTTGGTAGAAAGAATTATATACTTTCTGAAAACATATCAACTTAATCTGAGTTAAGTGAAAATTGTGTATGTTGAAATACTATTAATATCTAAATTGCAGGAGCACAAAGTTGAAGAAGAGACACTACCTCTCGGTTTCACATTTAGTTTCCCATTAAAACAAATCAGTTTGACTAAAGGCTTATTGGTTAGATGGACGAAAGGTTTCAATTGTTCAGGAGTTGTAGGGCAAGATGTAGTTACCCTTCTCAAAGAGGCTATAAAGAGACGCGGGGTAAGAATACTGTTGATATGATTGATAAATGTAGTAACGAAAATTTAATTTTTGAATAATGTGAGAAAGGTTGCTGACTTATTAATCTAACAAAATAATTTTTATAAGTGATTTCTTATGCGGTTATTTCGATTTGAGTCATAATTACTCAAGATTGATCTCCGTGGAGAATAGATTATTCAAATTAGAAAAAAGTCTAAAACGATGTTATCAAATGCCATTCGTATTAACGGCAGTCTTATTTCCACAATCTATAGTAATTCGTCTTGAAATATATAGATAATTAAACGTTATTAAAAAATTTCAGATATCAAACATTCGTGTGGTGGCAATTTTAAACGATTCTACGGGAACATTAATGTCATGCGCGCACCGAAATAAGAATTGTAGGGTCGGTTTGATCATCGGTAAGAAGTTTGAAGAAATCATTAAATCAAACTAAATACTTTAAGATTTCATTAACATCGTTTTTGGCCACTATTCGCATGCTATGGTTCGATAAATATCTTTGCATATTTGATAAAAGATCAAGAAGAGATTGATGGCGATTGAAGTCAAATACTTTTTATATTTGCCAGTGGCATAATTTTGTTTTCTAACAAGGGGAATATTAACACAGTGTTGATTTACAAAGAATTAAATCATATAAGAAAAGTAACTATTTAAAAAATCATTCAAGAAACAATGCTTTTATGGTGCGACAAAGTAATTATTCCGAAATATGAAAATGGTCTGTTACAGCAAGACTTAAATATGACATGAAAATCAACATAGACAAAACAAAGGTGATGAGGTTATCGAAATTGGATAATTCCTTGATGGTAGTCTCTGTATGAATCAGAAACAAGGATCGAACAAAGTTGAGAATCGTGCCGGATACAACTTGATTATCTTAGTTTTTATGTAATCTAAAACGGCACGTCGGGGCTTACACTATCTTGCATTAATCATCTGTTAACGCTATCTTTTATCAATTATGTGAAGAGAACATAACATAATGTGGCTTAAGCATTCAATTTGCATCGGCGTTTAATTATTCAAATCATATTTAAAAAACTTAAATTACTTCTATAATAAAAGCAAGAGAGTCCTTTGCATGGGTTCATTTGATTAGAAATATAATAATCCACCACTAAAAAATCACTAAATCATTTTTGATACAAATAAAAAGCCAACGTTTTTATTTTTATTAATTAAACAATGTTAGTTTAACTCATTTGCGCGTTGCTAAATCCTTACATTGAGCGATAGATATTATTATGTTTATTTGATTCAATTAATGTCGAAATGCTTCCGAATATTAAGAATATTGAAAAGTTGTTACTTTTACATTAGGACATTAAAATCGATGTGTGTGCCATTCTGAACGACACGACCGGAACACTGATGTCGTGCGCTTGGAAAAATACCAATTGCAGAATTGGGCTCATTGTCGGTACGTCCAAAGCAAATTATCATTTAGCCTTCCCTCTCATCTAGAATAGTTATTACTTGTCAATAAAACATAAATCATAGGCTTCCTTTTTTAAAACCAATTCTATAATACTAACTCTAGATGAGGGGGAGAGCAACATAATTAAACATATCATGTTGTGGTCATACGTCACATAATGGGTTCAATGCATGTCATTTATATATATATATATATATATATATATATATATATATATTTATATTAATTTGGAAATATGAACAAACAGCACTCTTTTTTGCACTAACTTATTAAACAATAATTTTCACAAACGTTTCGAGACTAGGTTTGACTCATCATCAGTGTGTTATAATTTAAAATTTAAAATATGGAAATCTAAATTAGCATTTTGTGTTATCCATTACAAGTCGCTCGATACACTGTCCTCTGCCACACCAACGGTCGTCGGTGTCCTGTGAATCGAGGGACTTGTAATGGATAACACAAAATGCTAATTTATATTTCCATATTTTAAATTTTAAATTATAACACACTGATGATGAGACAAACCTAGTCTCGAAACGTTTGTGAAAATTATTATTTAATAAATTAGTGCAAAAAAGAGTGTTGTTTTTTTATATTTCCAAATTAATATCTATTATCCAATCAGAATACATTTGTTATATATATTATTACATAGTTTAAGTTTTTCTATAGCATTATATAGTTTAAGTTTTTCTATAGCTATTATAATTTATGATTCTATTTTTATGAAATCCTCTTTTTCCCAAAGAGATTTAATTTTTCATTTATAATCAGTCTTTCAAATTCATATATATATATATACATCTCGGAATTCGCGAGTGGAAAGGGTTAATAATACGAAGTTCTTGAAGAAGGAAGAATATTTATAAAAGCAAAAATTACATCATTTTTAGGAAAAGGGAGGCTTAGTTCAGAAATTTGGAAATGAAAAATTTATGTACGAGTTATAAGTTGGATATACATAAACATTTAAAAATATGCTTCAACATCTTAAATCTCAAAGAAAATCTAAAGTTTATATAATGGTTTTTACCTCAACGCATGCAACTTGGATATACATTTCAAAAAAACATATTTTTCATAATTTACTTACATTTAGGTACTGGTACCAACGCCTGTTATGTAGAAAATTTAAGCAAAGCCGAATTGTTTGAAGGCGACTCAAGCGGCGATAGAGTTCTAATAAATACTGAATGGGGCGCATTTGGAGACAACGGCGTCCTAGATGATGTCAGGTCGCAATACGACATTGACGTCGATGAGCATTCCATCAACCCTGGCAAACAATTGTAAGGAAAATTGATTAAAACCTTTAGTAATAAGTGTTTCCTCTAAGCAAATAAAGATTTGCAAATACTTTCTAGAAACTAAATCAACAAGAAACAATCAACAAGAAAGCAATCAACGTTTTACCGAGTTTTATTTCTTTTAAATTTTTAAAATCGGTTCAGCTGTTTTTCTAATCCATCGTCATTCTTAGAATTTATTTTATTTAACTATAATTGTTTTTCCCAGATTTGAAAAAATGATCTCAGGCATGTACATGGGTGAACTAGCAAGATTAGCCATTGTAAGATTTGCTAAAGAAGGTCTTTTATTTGATGGCAAATTATCCAGTATGCTTATGAAAAGGGGCAATTTTTTTACAAAATATGTTTCGGAGATAGAAGCAGATGGTCCAGGCCAATATGCCAATTGCAGGGAAATTTTGGATGAATTAGGTACAATATTATTTCAATTTATATGTTGAATTGCAGTATGATTGATGATGATGATAATCTATTTTCCAATGAAATGAAAATTATGCTTCTTTTAAGGTCTATCTTTTGCAACCAATGAGGATTGTAAATGCGTGCGAGAAATTTGTGAATTGGTATCCCGAAGAGCAGCCGATTTGGTCTCGGCGGCTGTATCAACCCTTATTTGCAGAACAGGTGAAACAAACGTCATTGTGGGCATAGATGGCGGTGTTTATAGGTACCATCCGCATTTTAGGGATCTTATGACGAACAAGATTGGTGAATTGTTACCAGAAGGGATCCAGGTAAAGACAATGCATCATGTTTATAATTTTTAATGATTTAGACTTAGAAAATAATTATAACAAATGGATCAAGAATATTGACAATTACCAAGGGAATTGTTTAACCAAATTATTAAGTTAAAAATTTCCTCTTTTATTTTAAAATTATCATAAACTAGAAAGTTAATAAAAGTGGCTTCAACTTACCCCTAATTCCTAAAATGTATTGAAATATCATAAGTTTCATATTTTCAACAGTTTGATCTAATGCTGTCACAGGATGGAAGTGGCCGGGGGGCTGCATTGGTTGCAGCGGTTGCTTCGAGAACATAACAAAAAATTAAGTTTAAGTCAAATAGAAATTATGATGAGGGATTTGAATATGCAACATGGTTGATTTTATAAATATCAGCATTTATAGAAACATTCCTCAATATATATATATATATATATATATATATATATATATATATATATATATATATATATGCATTTGTGATGGCAAAATTTGTTTATAAATTTTTTATACTCGATAGCAAACAAAAAGCTAAAATGTTATTTATATGCATTTGTACATATTTAATTTTACTTATAGAAAATATACAAATGTTATATATGATATATCTATTACATTTTTCATAAAATTGAAGAATGAGTTTTATTTACATTTGCATTTGAACCTCATAATTCTGTTCATCTCACTACAATTATATTATTAATTATGAAATTATAAAGATCAATGTCTAGACATGAATTATTTTTTTTTTATCTGTAGATTTCGAAATTTGATTTATGAGGAAAGTGTCATCACTATTTAATTTAGCAGCAAATAGTATCTACTCAAAAACAAAGTTGAGAATATCTATAAGGAACTTTAAATTTAATGAAATAAATTTATTTAGAAGAACTTAAATTATTTCTACATATATAATACATAGGTTGAAAAATATATTATGAAAAAATCAAACATAATTCAATAAAAATTGAAAAAATTAAAATAGAATAAAGAAATTTGCAAAATGACAATATTGAAATAAATTTTACAAGGCACCAAAAGCGAAGCAATAAAGACAACTCAAAGCTACATATTTTGTAGCTATATAGTTGAACATTGGTCTTTAATATTCTCCCCAATAACTGTTTTTTATGTTCACGCATATTAAAAAAGATCATTTGTGATGATTTATTTATTACAACAAATATAAATGAAAATCATCATTGGAAAGTTGCGCCTGGTTTAAAAACAAAAAAAAAATTAGATGTTTCTAGATGTTGTTATAACATTGAAAAAAAAAAAAAAAAAACACTTTTCATCAGTGTCATTTTCCACTTGTTTTATTTTGCCATAGGTTTCAATTTAAAATACAAGGTGAAAAAAAAAAGAAAAATTAGATCTGAAAGTGAGTATACGTTCATTAAATAGACCACAATGATTAATATGTTCTAAAACTACATACAATTTCTTTCCTCTTATAATCAGATTGAGTGTATCAATCGAATTTGGCAGTGAAAATAAGTTAAAATTCTGCAAATCAAGGCATGGAAATGAAACAATCAAGTTTGACCACGAATAACCCGAGTCCACCTTCACAATATTCGACCCGAGGTAAGGGTATACCCACTTTGAGTCGTTTAAGAACAAGCCTCATGGAAGCTTACCTCCAAGAATCCGTTATAATGGCAGAAAATAGTCAAAATGCAATTAAGAAGACTATATTAACACAGCAATCCAAAGATGTTAACATTTATAGCAAGAATTAAAAATAATTATATAATTCTAATAATATATATTATTTAGTATATATTATAAGTTATTTCATCTTGTGTCATAATTAAATATTATTAAAAATTCAATTCATGATGAAAATATTTATTAATTCAATAAACTGAAAGATGTGCATCAATTACCTCAACTATCTCCAGAATATATTCTTTTTCATTCAATAACTTCTTAAGTCAGCAACATTGAATATTCTAGTACAATATTATTACCTGCAAATAAAAAATTAAAGATACAGATTATAAACTATATAAAGCAAAGAAAAAAAAAAGGATAAATTTTAAACAATGTGCGTAATTTAGATTAGGTTAATTATTAATATACATATAAGTTTTGAGATCAGAAATAATATAGAAACAAATATGCCAGCGGAGTTTTAACATAGGAATATTCTTGAAAATACTCAACCAAGTTAAAGCTACAACGCAGCACTTTCATATTCGCCTTTAAGTCATCATTTATTTCAAATGTTATTCCATAAATTTGAAAATAAGGTTATAATAAATATTTTTAATCCAATAAATTGCAATATGTGTAAATTACCTTAATTATGAATATATAAAGCAGATCCTAGATTGTGGTGTGATAAGGCTTAGAAAGTATTCAATAACTTATCACAAACTTGCTAGGTAAAAATGTTATCTGAAAATAAAAATCATATATATAGATTATAAATTATATCAAATAAATAAAAATAATAGTATAAAAAATTTACTTAATATATTTCTAGTAAACACTTAATATATTTGAGATCAGAAATAATATAGAAACAGATATGCCACCGGAGTTTTAACTTAGGAATATTTTTAAAAATACTCAACCAAGTTAAAGCTACAACGCAGCACTTTCATATTCGCCTTTAAGTCATCATTTATTTCAAATGTTATTCCATAATTTTGAAAATAAGGTTATAATAAATATTTTTAATCCAATAAATTGCAATATGTGTAAATTACCTTAATTATGAATATATAAAGCAGATCCTAGATTGTGGTGTGATAAGGCTTAGAAAGTATTCAATAACTTATCACAAACTTGCTAGGTAAAAATGTTATCTGAAAATAAAAATCATATATATAGATTATAAATTATATCAAATAAATAAAAATAATAGTATAAAAAATTTATTTAATATATTTCTAGTAAACACTTAATATATTTGAGATCAGAAATAATATAGAAACAGATATGCCACCGGAGTTTTAACTTAGAAATATTTTTAAAAATACTCAACCAAGTTAAAGCTACAACGCAGCACTTTCATATTCGCCTTTAAGTCATCATTTATTTCAAATGTTATTCCATAATTTTGAAAATAAGGTTATAATAAATATTTTTAATCCAATAAATTGCAATATGTGTAAATTACCTTAATTATGAATATATAAAGCAGATCCTAGATTGTGGTGTGATAAGGTTTAGAAAGTATTCAATAACTTAGCACAAACTTGCTAGGTAAAAATGTTATCTAGAAATAAAAATCATATATATAGATTATAAATTATATCAAATAAATAAAAATAATAGTATAAAAAATTTATTTAATATATTTCTAGTAAACACTTAATATATTTGAGATCAGAAATAATATAGAAACAGATATGCCACCGGAGTTTTAACTTAGAAATATTTTTAAAAATACTCAACCAAGTTAAAGCTACAACGCAGCACTTTCATATTCGCCTTTAAGTCATCATTTATTTCAAATGTTATTCCATAATTTTGAAAATAAGGTTATAATAAATATTTTTAATCCAATAAATTGCAATATGTGTAAATTACCTTAATTATGAATATATAAAGCAGATCCTAGATTGTGGTGTGATAAGGTTTAGAAAGTATTCAATAACTTAGCACAAACTTGCTAGGTAAAAATGTTATCTAGAAATAAAAATCATATATATAGATTATAAATTATATCAAATAAATAAAAATAATAGTTTAAAAAAATTATTTAATATATGTCTAGTGAACACTTAATATATTTGAGATCAGAAATAATATAGAAACAGATATGCCGGCGGAGTTTTAACTTAGGAATATTTTTAAAAATACTCAACCAAGTTAAAACTACAACGCTGCAAATTCATATTCGCCTTTAAATCATCATTTATGTTTTAGAATTTTTAACAATTATGTACTAAAATATAACACATACATATTTTATAAATCACCTTAGTACGTGGCATAGTCTGATTAGTTATTTTTGTAAAGAAAGTCCGGTTGCAACTCGATGTCATAGTTTTATTATGGAAAACTATAAATATGTTCAAACAATGTTTGATAACTGATTTTTTACCTACATTATCTGTAAATAGAAATATGTTAATTATTTTATATTAATAATATTCATAAATATGTTATCACTTACCTGACATTTAGAAAACTCTGAGAAACTTTTATTGTTATTATGGCATTAAAACATCAAGTTTGTTTCTGAAAATTAATAAATGAAGACAAGAATAGGAAAGAATAGGAATTTTGGTGGAAAAAATTTAGATAATTTAAAATTATTTTATTCCATAATACATTTATCAGATAATGTAAATTATATTAAATTTAATGGTTACTAAAAACTGTAATTATTTAAATATTTAAAAAAAATTATTTACAAATGAAGATTTTAAGATTTGTCAATTATTGCTATAACTATATTATAAAACGTCAGAAATTAATCCAACAAAGAGCAAATTCAATATTAATTTAATAGTCATTTGATTCATCATATTCTCCCTCTTCTTGTGTGTATCCACTGGTACTATTGCCATTATTTTCTGGAATTTTATATTTTTCTTCATTTTCATCTTCATATTTTACAGCATTTTCATTGTAAGTTGTGGTGTACTGTGTATAATCAGGATAATCTGTAAAAATAAAAACTTAAGTTTATAATTTCGATCATTATTATTATAAAACTAATCCCAATGTAAGTCAATGTACGAAGCGCATACTACCATACAGTCAAGCCTACAAGACTGTTGGCCCTGAGGCTTCATATTTTCATGTGGCAATATTGTGAACATTATAATATTCCATTGGCAGTGATTATAATGTTGTGATAAAAGTAATCAAAAATATTGCAATAGAAGTTGTGTAATAGGCGAAATAAATAGTTTTTGTCAGTAAAATGAAATAAATATGCTAATTACCATCAAGAGGTTCATCCTTGACTTTAACTTCAACATCACCAAAGTCACCGACTCGAACTTTGCGCTCTTTACGTTCAGCTCGTTCGCGATCCCTTTTATCACGCTTGCGGTCTGACCGGTCTTTCTCGCGCCCTTCTCGATCACGGCTCCTGCTGCGTCTCCTTTTGCGATCTCTGTCAGATCGGTCACGTTCTTTATCTCTGCAAATAAAAATACATCAAATCAAATTCATTGAAAATGCAAGATTTGTAGTGGCTTATATAAATAAATAAATCAATATTCCACCTTCTCTCTCTATCTCGGACTCTTTCCACATCCGTGTCATCAGCCTCTTTGCTCCTTGGTCTGCGTTTACGATCAGACCTATCGCGGCTTCTGCTGCGGCTGCGTCGTTTCGGACGGTCTCGGCTGCGCGATCTACGTCGATCGCGATCAAATGAGCCCAGGCCACCAGCAGCACCTGAGGTTAAAAGAATACGGTTTACAATCTAGAAATGGAATTTGTTTGCTTTTTAAATATATATATATATATAAAAAATCTACAAAATATTACATTTAGAACTATCTAAAATAACAGACAATATTGACTAAGATTGACCAAACTGCAATATTGATTAGTAATGCAAATTATTAATTGCATTTCATTATATGATAGTCAAGTAGTTATTACTCTAACTGGAATTATATGAGCTACTGTATCACTATATTTTAAAATTGATCAAAGCTCAGTATAAAGGATGATAAAAGCCAAATTAATATCTTATATATAAAAATGAATCGCAAAATGTGTTGGTAAGCGCATAACTCAACAACGCCGCGACCAATTTGGCCAATTCTTTTTTTAACATGTTCATTGAAGTCCAAGGATGGTTCTTCCGGCAAGAAAAAATTGAATAATTGCCGGGAAAACCCTAAAAACAGCCCTTTTCTTTTTTATATACAAACGTTTTCTAACTAAAACGTAGAAACAATTTGAGCTTTATTGCTATTATATAAAGCACTCACTGTACACTCCTAAATGATTGTTCGTATTTTGATAAATCTTTTGTTAAGGAAATTTGCTAGGATGTATGTGATTATAAAGTACTGGGATGTATGTGCAATATTGTAGAAATAAATAGAAAAAATTGCAAATAACTACATGTCATTGTTTGCATTGAAAACAAATGAAAATAATGATATGTAGAAATCATCTGCCAAAAATTTCAATTTACTTATGAACTTAAACGAAATATAAGATATTAGAATATGTATAATAAATTTATGATTATGCCAAAAAGCAGATGAGATGTGCCAGAAATTAAAATAATATAAGAGACAATATATGTATGGCAGATTGAATGATACACATATAAAAAGATTAATTCACTTAAAATATGAAATCGAATATTAATCAGGGCCGGTCCTACGTTTAATGCGATTCATGCGAAAAATACGAGCGCACGCCTTGGGGGGTGCCAACACAAGATTCGGATAATAAATTATCAATATAGTTTTTTTTTAACTTCCCGAAGGAGAAGTTTATGTTTTCATCAAAAAATCCGAATCGCTAATTTTATGTTTTCTCGACGTTTCGAGCCATTCTGAATCGAATGAGACCAAATTTGGAAAAAGTATGTGTGTGTGTGTGTGTGTGTGTGTGTGTGTATGTGTGTGTGTGTGTGTGTGTGTGAACAGATTTTTTGCCGTAAATCGACGTTTTCTCCAAAACGGCTGGACCGATTTCAAAAATTTAAAAGCCATTTGATGTATCTCGATGAGGACTATCGTCTCTGAGTTTTGTGCGGCGATCGGCCGGGCCGTTTCTTTGTAAATTGCAGAAAAGTGAAAAATTTTTCGTCCACGTTTTAGCCCGCAATTCTGAATCGATTCTGAAAATTCAAAAACCGTTCGATAGATATTGGTTGGGAATCGTGCTGATTAGTTTTTGGTAAAGATCGGCCGGGCCGTTTTCTTGTAATAAAGTTTTAAAAAAAAAAAATTCGACGATTTTTATGATTATTTTTTTGACGATAGATACCATAGTTTTCTAGGTCATACTAAAATATTACGGCCCTACGACAACTGGTTCAGCTTTAAAAATTCGTCAAAGTTTGCAAAAATCAGTATGGTCTTTTTGGCATTTGTCAAAATTAGAATTTTCATCGACGTTTTCTCAAAAACGCCTGAACCGATTTCAGATATTTAAAAAGCATTTGATGTAACTCGATGAGGATTATCGTTTCTCAGTTTTGTGCGACGATCGGCCGAACCGTTTCTTTGTAATTTGGAAAAAAGTGTTAAACTTTTCGTCCACATTTACGCCCATCCTGCCGAACCGATTTTAAAAAATCAAAAACTGTTCGAAAGATATTAGTTGGGAATGGTGCTGATTAGTTTTAGGTAAAAATCTACCGAGCCGTTTTCTTGCAATTAACTGTTGAAAAAAAGTGTTAAATTTTCGTCCACATTTACGCCCATCCTACCGAACCGATTTTAAAAAATCAAAAACTGTTCGAAAGATATTAGTTGAGAATGGTGCTGATTAGTTTTAGGTGAAAATCTACCGAGCCGTTTTCTTGCAATTAACTGTTGAAAAAAAGTGTTAAATTTTCGTCCACATTTACGCCCATCCTACCGAACCGATTTTAAAAAATCAAAAACTGTTCGAAAGATATTAGTTGGGAATGGTGCTGATTAGTTTTAGGTGAAAATCTACCGAGCCGTTTTCTTGCAATTAACTGTTGAAAAAAAGTGTTAAATTTTCGTCCACATTTACGCCCATCCTACCGAACCGATTTTAAAAAATCAAAAACTGTTCGAAAGATATTAGTTGGGAATGATGCTGATTAATTTTAGGTGAAAATCTACCGAGCCGTTTTCTTGTAATTGAATGTTGAAAAAAAAGTGTTAAATTTTCGTCCACATTTAAGCTCATCCTACCGAACCGATTTTAAAAATCAAAAACTGTTCGAAAGATATTAGTTGGGAATGATGCTGATTAATTTTAGGTGAAAATCTACCGAGCCGTTTTCTTGTAATGAACTGTTGAAAAAAAAATTGAAGCCGATTTTCATGGAACTTTTTTTGGCGATATACATCATGGTCTTATAGAACTTACTGTAATGCTACGGCCTTACAACAAGTAGTTTAATTTTAAAAATTCGTCAAACTTTGCTAAAATTATTATCGTTTTTTTTTTAAAGTAGGATTGATGAAGTATATTATTTACACATTTTTTTGATCAAGTCGATTATTTACACATATCGGGAAGTTCATGTAATTTGCCTCAAGGCTAAATACCAAACCAAGTAGTTAATATATAATTTCTTTGTATATTTTACTAATCTTTCCACAATATTTTTAAAATTCGTAAAAAAATAACTTTATAACAACAATTGGGAAAGTAAAGATGAATACATACAATTCGGTTCTCACGATATCGATTAGGAGAAGTTTAAGATGCAATTTTGAATATCTTAAATAATAAACAATTAAACTAATTTAATCCAACACAAAGTACCAGGGTTATGTTATGGTTATGGTTATGTTATACCGTTTAAAAGACTTCAATTTCCAATATGGTCAGCATCAATTTTAATTCTAGCAAAGTAAAATGTGTAAAATTGTTAGGCAACACATTTATAAAACTATTGAAAATATGACTTATAGTAGACCTACCAAGACCCCTGTCTCTCTCTCGTTCCCGATCCCTATCTCCTCTATCTCTGTCTCTTCTGATGTCGCCTCTCTCTTCTCTTTCTCTTTCCAAGCGATATCGCTCTCTCTCTCGTTCATTGTCCTCTCGACCAGAGTGTTTGATGTTTACTTCTGGACCACCACGTCTTGTTCCACCAAGTCCACCACCTGATTTCAAAATCATTCAATTCATTAAAAAAATATAGAATTGTGTTGAGTCCAATTGAAAAACAAATCACTATTTATAAAATTTACAAGTGATTTATTAATTAACTTACCTAATCTTCTTGGCAACCAACCCTTCACAGTCCTTGCTCTTTCCACATCGACTAATACCCTTCTTCCATCAATTTTTTTACCATCTGCATGTTTGTAAGCAGCTGAAATTTTAGAAAATGTATTAAAAAGTGAAAGAGCTCAAAAGCTTTGTACAAACCCATGATAGTAGTTTGAAGTCCTGTAAAAAATAATTTTAGCAAAAGAAAAAACACCTACAAAATAGCTGCCATTGTTTCCAGATACTCAACTGAGAAGAATAATTTTGGAAAAATTCAAGTCCACGATAAATATAGTAGAAGATACCCAATGCCCATGACTGATAATCAAAAATTGAAATAAAATTTTTTAAAACCGCATTTTTTATTAAAATATGGAGTACTGATGTATTTTTCACAAAAAAATAAAAATACATTATATGTGCAGTTTCAGTATATAATAATAAATGCAATACCTACCAATAAAAAATGTTACTTACGAGATATGGATTTAAAAATTGAATCAAACTAGATGAAAGTAGAGATTTCTTGGATGGAGCTACACTAGACGTGTCCATTTGCGATAACATGTTTATTACCTGGTGCGCTTTTAAAACTACTTTACCGTTTTGGATTTGAACCATACGCGCAATCATATTACTAAAGTATTGCTACATATAGTAAATGTAAAGTATGATGGTATTGCAAAATAATGGGAATATTGCTTACTGAATGTATTAATGTTAGAATAATAAATATTGAATAAATCGAAAACATTAGAACAATATTTGTAAAAAACATTATTCTAATAAACTAATGTTTATTAACCTGCCCCACAAAATTGAAAGAATCCTCTGGACACTCCAAATAAATAGAATACATATTTTTTGTATGCAGGGCTTTCTTACCACACATACAAACCTATTAATAGCCAGCAATATAGTGACAAAAGCGGCAGTGTGTATTGTCAAACACCAAATTCTGTACCAAAAACAGAAAAATCGCATTAATATCGAATCACATTGACAGAATAACATCAAGGGCTAATTATACGAGATATTTTTGAGAAACCACTAAAAAATTATAGATTAATTACATTCTTTGCTGGCTATAAAATATTAAATTTGGCCATTTCAAAATCAAAAAGCTTTTGTAACCTATGCACTGTAATTTATTTTTAAAGTCTTTCTAAAAAGACCAAAGCACTACTTAAATTGGTACTTACAGTGCATGTCTCTCTCATGTTCATATTCAATAAATGAATAACCACGGGGTTTACCGTTGATTGCATTGTGAATGACAACGATCTGAAAGCACAAAATATTATTAAATAATTTATTATAGCAAAAAAACAAAGCATAATATGAAATTTTGTGCAATATGAAAATAAGCTCTTCAATTCAGTAATAATTATCATTTAAAACATCACTTCAATGTTAAAAGAAAAAAGAAACACTAAATATTTAGATAACCTTTACGAAGTGATCAATCATATTAGTTGCATAAAAAACATGCAAGCAAATGTTTTCTTTAATTAAATAAAAACAATTCTTAATTAAAAATCAATATAATAATCTAAATAAAATTTGGAAGTTGAGTAAATATACCTTTTTAATAGGTCCATAACCTTCAAACTCTCTTCTCAATTTGGATTCTGTAGTATCATAATTCTGTGAAGAAATATATGCTTGTATCATTAATTCATTAAAGAAAATCCTTATTGTAATTATGTTATAATGAACAAATAATATTCACTTACAATTCTAGCTACGAATAATGTTTTGAATGGATCTACTGTAGCACTTTCCGAGGATGTTGGATCCCAGACAGCTATCTCCTGTTCTAACTTATAGGCAACTTGCTCAGCCCTTTCACGTCTTCTCCTTTCCAATCTCTCTTCTTTGGTTTCAACACGAGTGGGAGGTGGAGTCTCTTTTGGATCCTACATGGGAAAAAATTGAATCAGTATGCACTAAAAATGAAGGAGTAGTATATTTCACATACCTCAAATTCTTTAACGAATTGTGCTATCCCAACATAGCCCTTATTCTTCTTTTCATGAGGTAACTTACAAGCCGGAGGTAAATGTTTAATAGGCTCCCGAGGAGCAAAAAGAGCTAATAAATTAGCGGGTAAAAACTGCGTCATAATTTTACTTGAAACACTATTTAATATAAAATAATTAATAAAAAAGTATCTTATCGCACAGCTATATAACGTAACACATTCTACTCTCCACAATTTCCGAGAAATAAACTTCTCTGTCAAAATCACAAAACACAATGATGTTTTTCAGAATAAATCAAGCTAGTAAAGACAAATCGCCATTATGTTTTGCTTATAAAGTTGGTATTGTTACGGTTGGCACAAGTGGAGTTTAGAACCATTTATTACCATAGATACACACATAGATAAAAGAAGAGTGGATACATAGATACATGTCATTGACATCTGGTGTATACACGCACCGTGGGATGGCGCTCAATACAACTTGATCAAATTTAATTTAAAATCTAATCGTTTATTTTAAATTAACTTACAGTAAGTTTTGATCACCAGATAATTACAGTAACATTATATTATATAAATTATATTTTGTTATTTTAAAATATTTCTATTAAAACATATTCTATATTCTCTTGTTACTTTCATGGGTTGATTCCTAGTATTTTTTGGGTAAAAACTTTTGAGTGAAATAAAAAAAGTTAATTTTGTTTGAAAATTATAAACCTATTTGTATATTAGCGCAGAATTATGTAGAACTTTTAACTCCCCAAATAAACTTTGAGAGTTTGACATAAGGTAGTTTCAAACTGTGTATTGAAAAATTATCTGAATTAGGCACTGCGATGTGACAACAAATAGTGAATCTTTTATTTTACTCAGGTAAATGTTTATTTCCGGTACAATAATAGATAGCTTGGTTTGATATTTACAGGTACAAAAGTTTGTTCGGGTGTTTTGAATAATGAACCCATTTTTAAACTATATTTGAATATTAACAAATTGAAAAGTAAATCGTTTTTATATAAAACAGATCTCACAATAGTTCAATACAGAGGCATTTATATTCTGTTTATATTTAATTAATATTCTTTACAATAAATTCTGTTAAATTTTATATACATATTAATATCAATAACAATTCTCAAATATTTTATATAGTTATAACATACTCTCTTATTTAATAAGTAATTTAACAAACCATAATTGAACTAGTTCAAATAAGTTCAAGAAGTTCACTACTTCATGAGAAAACAAAATTGATACATAATAAATATTATATAATAATAATATATAATTATTTATACAATATAGAAAAATGAAATTTAAAAGAAATTATGATGAAATATATTTATTTATTTTATAGTGTGTTATTTTTTCATGTTTAACATCATATTATTTAACAATGCTACAAGTTAATATTTTTAATTCATTTCAAAATTATTGTATCTATATTTATAATATTAAATAAATTCGTAATTAATTTACAATTTGGTCCAGATAAATGTTAATTACTATTAAGCGCATACAAACTTTAGATATAAATAATATCTATTTTTAATGGAAACCTGATATATCTACTTTAGCATTATTTCGATCGGGCCTATCAGGATCTTCGATTGTGTTTGAATCATTTTTAAAAAATTTCAGCAAACTCGAATGACCAATATTATCATCTTCAGAATTATTTGTTTGGGAATCTTTTGTTGTTATGCTACTTGACTCAATAGATTCTTCGACAATCGTGGGACAGTCTTCTTCGATTTGTTTAGATGGGATTTTGTCATCATCTGAATTTTTTAATTTATCTGGATTAATTTTATCGTCATTGACAATCACAAAATCCATAGCCTTCTGGTCTAATGATTCGGACATATTTGGTGAATCATTGTCATTTATGTTATTGGCCATTTTTTCATTTTCTAAGAATTTTGAGGTGAAGAAAGCGTCAGAACTGAAGGATGAATCTTCGTAGTATATACGAAACGGATTTGTTACGCCATCATACAAAATGTTTGAAGAAAATTTATCATAATCAGTTTTCTTGGGATTCTCTTCAGAAAATGATTTTTTTGAAAGTTCATTATCCGAATCTTTGTCGAACCAGTCGACTATATCTTCAATGCTCTCCCGTCGGGCCAAAGGTGCTTGTTTGACATCTTCGTTTTCTGAAGTTTTCCGTTCAACAGACTCAGAAATAGTATTAATTGATGAGGGGTTTAAAATTGCTTGTAGGTTAACACCGCTCTTGCGGCCATTAGATTGTTTTGGTGCCGCAGTACTAACTGCTGTGTCTGAACTTTTAATTTTATCTTTATTTGCATTTAATGGTAACGGATTTTTATCTCCAACTGAAAACTTAACATCGGTCGAAGAACGTTTCTTAGATGGTAGTCTGGAAATTGGTTGGAAAAGACCATCGTCAATTCCGTCATGTTCTATTACTCCCAAGTCCCAATCATCCAAACCTCCCCATGAATCTTCACTTTCCGCATCAGATTGATCGTTTGCTGCGCTAGATGAAGGTGTGTTTTTAATTTTATCCATAATTTGTTGAGGCAATAAGGAACCAAAACTTCTACATCGTGTCATGTAACTTTCCAACCGCTGAGCTGTCGCTTGCGATAGAGAAAGGTTGTTTTCACCAGGTAAGGAAGCATTTCTAGGTATCGAACCGCGCCTAAGGTTTTTAGACATTTCTTTTTTTACATCCAAGTCATTATAAATTGGAGGTATAACTGTTGAATATGCTTTTCTAGGCCCACCATTTGTTTTGTGATAATGATGTGGATGCCTCGTAGGATCGCAAATGTGCGTTATTTCTTTTTTGGGAACAATTATTGCTTCCTCAACTGGTTTTAAATTGTCTTCTGAGTTCATACGATCTAGAATTTGTTTAATACCACGCCTTCGTTTTCGTGGGGGAGGTACAGGAGCAGCATCAGGCTCGGTGGATTGCTGAAGAGTCGCCATTGTTTTCTGGATGATTTCAGGAGTCTTAAGGGGCACATCTGTCCACTCCGGACTAAGCGGAGTGGCACGTGTATTTATTTTTGCGACGGAATTACGCCGGGGTGTTACGGTGGGCGTCTGATCGTTCGTTGGCCATGTTGGCACCTGATAGCTACAAAAAAAAAATAATTAAACTGTACTGGCTTATAAACTATGTTATATATATATATATATATATATATATATATATTTATATATATATATATAATCAATATAAATTAACCATAGTTTTACAAGTTATATATTTTTCTGAGTGGTTAAATCACACAATCGCAGATTTTTTCACTCATATGTAATTACCAATTTGTGACAATTAATGAACCAATAAAAATGTTTATACTAAGAAATATAAAAATCAGTTCAATTGCCCTTCTGAAAATGTGACGGAAAAATTGGCAAAAACTAAATTTATTATAGGATTTTCTAATCTTAATAACTTATCAAGCTGTAAAAATACTCACATATTCGTTTGTTTATCTGCTCGTATGTTATCATTGCGATTCAAACCATGAGGACATAACTGAAAAAATATAATTGAGTACATTTAAAACTTAAAACAAAATCATCTGGTATGTGAATATAATTACTTGCAGTCTGCTAAATATTTTATCTACTGGATTTTTCGAATCAGGTGTAGCTGTATCCCGCTTCTGGCAAACGTTGCCCATAATCTGAAAGTATAATAATAAAATAAATTACTTTATTAACTTTCCGAGGAAAAAGTTTATGTTTTCTTCAAAAAATCCGATTTGCTTATTTTATGTTTTCTCGACGTTTCAATAAGCCATTCTGAATCGAATGAGACCAAATTTGGAAAAAGTATGTGTGTGTGTGCGTGTGTGTTAACAATTTTTTTCAAAAACGGCTGAACCGATTGTTTGTCAGTTTTGTGAACGATCAGCCTAGCCGTTTCTTTATAAATCGCAGAAAAGTGAAAAATTTTTCGTCCACGTTTTAGTCCGCAATTCTGAATCGATTTTGAAATGTCAAAAACCGTTCGGAAGATATTGGTTTGGAATCGTGCTGATTAGTTTTTGGTAGAGATCGAGCGGGCCGTTTCCTTGTAATAAACTGTTAAAAAATGTTTTTTCGTCGATTTTTATTATTATTTTTTTGACGGTTGATACCATAGTCTTCTAGATCATACTAAAATATTACGGCCCTACGACAACTCGTTTAGCTTTAAAAATTCGTCAAAGTTTGCTAAAAGCAGTATCGTTTTTTCGGCATTTGTCAAAATTAGAACTTTCATCGACTGCTCAAAAACCCCTGGACCGATTTCAGAAATTTAAAAATCATTTGATTTATCTCGATGAGGATTATCGTTTGACAGTTTTGTGCGACGATCGTCCGAGCCGTTTCTTTGTAATTTGGAAAAAAGTGTTAAACTTTTCGTCCACATTTAAGCTCATACTACCAAATCGATTTTAAAAAATTAAAAACTGTTCGAAAGATATTAGTTGGGAATGATACTGATTAGTTTTAGGTGAAATTTTACCGAGCCGTTTTCTTGTAATTAACTGTTGAAAAAAAATTTAAGCCATGGAACTATTTTTGGCGATATATACCATGGTCTTATAGAACTTACTGAAATATTACGGTCTTACGACAAGTAGTTCAATTTTAAAATTTCATCAAAATTTGAGAAAATTAGTAGTTTTTTCACGTTTGTTAAAATTAAAATTAGATTATTTATTTGGTATAACAATGGAGTACTTGATCTTAATGAACATACTAAACCATTAAAGTCCTACGGAAACTGGTTCGATTATAATAATTATTGATTTGTGAAAATTTGCTTCTAGAATTTTCAATTATTATGTAATAAATCCACTCGGAATAAATTTAATCACTCATAAATTAATTTTTAATTGATTAAGTCGATTATTTAGTTATATCGGGAAGTTCATGTAACTTGCCTCAAGGCAAAATACCAATACCAACTAGTTAAATATTTCAAGGCTGATATTAAGTTACAATAAATATGCACGCATATATAAGTGCTTATGGGATAATAGAAATAATTAGAAGTGTACACTTACAAGTTCCATATTAGTATGTAGCTTACATTAATTTTTCATGTAGGATACTCATAAAATTACACTTTCCATTTCCAAATTAATTATATATTAATTTTTTGTTATTCATTTGTTTATGATCTACATTCACTGAAGTTTCATTTCAAGCAAATTAAACCAAGAACTACACCGAAGGGTGCAGCCATTGTTGGTTTAGATAAAAATGTACAAGATCATAAAAATTCTTTAGCAACATTTTAATTTCTTCATCAATTTTTTTATTCTTGAATAAAACCCTACCTGATCACTTCATTATCATCATATCTTGTATAATTATTGTTATTTATTTTCCTAGGTTGACCATCATAGGTATTAGATCACCAAAATAACCTTAAGCATCTCATTACTTGACCTTTGTTTCTAGTCTCCCACATATGGAAAGACACGTCGCACGGTAGGCATTTTATTAACTAATATTGATAGACATGAATGAATTTGTTCATGATCTCTATAAATCAAAATCATTGTTTTATAAGTGATCATCCATTGGAAGTTAATGTCACTTCTTAAAATGATGTAATTAGTAAAATATTTAAATTCATATAATACATTGATCAAATCGATTTAATAAATTATAGAAATGGTTAATATAAAAAATGTGGACATATTAAAACAGAAATAAAATTATTGGTCTTAATCATTTTTAATATATTTTCTTAATATCGTGGAAGTTCACAATTTAATTCCATTAACTTGAAAAATTCCTTAGAGATGTACTGTTAGCAAACAAGATAAATAATGAAGAATCGTCAGTGCATTTTGTTCACAACAGATATTATTTAATGTTCTATGTTATTATTTTACCTATATATCAAATAACGTTTTGTTTTGATTTCAATAACAATGCAGAATAACGTGGGCTGAAGACATCACTCGGCCTTGGCTTTGTGACATAGGTAACAACATATGTTTCTTTTTAATTGAATTGAATGAAATCCATTCTTTCATTCCATTGTCTTTAATTTTAATCTTTTAATTTTTTCAAGCATTATGTATTTAGTCTCTAATTTTTAATCTGGTTTAATTTAAAACGCTTATAAAAACACGTCATAATCAAACAATTTTCGACAGACCGAGAACAAAAGAGTGTGATAAAGTTAATTAAATTCCTCAATATATTTTGGTATTTTATCAGAAAAAAAATATTTACTGAATTTGTTTATTCTAAATTATCAATGATAATTTATCATAGAATTATATTTATTTATTACTATATGTTATCATATTAAGAAATTCACGGGTGCAAATGAAAAATAATCGCGACAGAAGGGTAGATTAAAAAGTCGCTTAAAAATACCGTTCCAAAATGAAATAAATAATTTTAACCACACGTAAAATCGGCACATGTGTTCGTTAATAAAATAAGTTTATAAAATTGAAAATTCATTCGTTAAAAATTACAATGTTGGAGCCCAGAACCTCCTCTTATCTTCACTGCTAGATGATCATGAAATGCGGTTGCTAAAGAATTTTTCTAATGTGATTAAAAATAAAAATGCTATTTTGATGAATGGTGTAACAAATTTTGGTTTACCCAGCGCTAATTTATTTTAAGATCATAAAATAAACTTTTAAAGCATGTGTTGAAGGCTTTCATTGTTCTTGTGTGATCTCAAACAACTGGAAATTGAACCTAGTATAAATATTTGTGCATAAATTATAGAAATATTTTTCTTGTAAAATAATACGATTTTTACTTGTGATTTTGTTTCTGGATTTTAGTAGGAGAAAATTAATATTTCTAAGCTAAAATTAATCACATGGATGGATTAATTAATATCAGTCGATAAACTTGTTACTTCATTTATTATTGTTACTATTTCAAATGTTCAAACCTTAATTATAAGATTTATTTTCTCTAAGAAGCAATCAGAATATGAAACATTCAATAATATATTATAGTATCAACAGATTTGAGATCGTATAATTCGGCTTGATTAACTCTTCATGAAAACTCTATAAAACCAAATGTTACGCGTTAATTACACAGGCCAACAAAGAAAAGGTTTTTTTCTATGAGCTTTAGTTTTCAAGATATGAAGCGCAAAAAATACTATAAGAATCAGCTCTAACATTTGATGCACCAAACAAGAAATTTTTTTTGTAGGCCTGTGTTATTAATGTAACACAGGCCTAGGTAGGTAACATTAATTATTAATGATTAATACTTTAACTTACAAGTGATTTATTCTAATAATTGATAATAACAAATGAAATAGTAGGATGAATGTAGTCATTGGAAACACATAGCCTTATTCGATGCATTGTACAGGTACACCCTTTTTTCAATCTACTTTCACCTTCGTAATAAGACCGGTTTAAGACATTACTTACCTGTTCGATAATGGGTTAGACCGGAATTGAAGTTCTAGTAAATTATGTTCGTATTTTATGCGTTTCATATTTAGTTTGTTTGATTATAATTGTTCGTTGTTTTTAGATTTCGCCCGACTTTTTTAATAATAGTATTATATCCAGTGGTTCTGAATTGCTGATCAAATACAGAATGAATTGAAGAATATAGAATTGTTCAAAGTTCAAATAAGTTCAAACGCAATTATGACCTCTTCGCATTTTCATCTTATAAGACGTGTTATAAAAAGTTTTATTGTCGGTGTAATAGATCGCAAGATCAGCGGTTTCGAAGATGCATAAAAAAGGTTGAAAAGAAAAACATGTAATCACTTGGCAATAATAATCTTTCAGCACCATTATTATTGATTCATGTACAAATAGAATTATTGATAGAAAGATAGAGAGGTAGCCACGTACACCAAAAGATATATAGGCAGGTAAACAGGTAGACAGATAGAAAGATAGACAAATAGTCAGGTGGGACAAATAGACAGCGCGACGGGACTTGATTCAGAGGTTCCGGGTTCGAGCAGCCTGTTGTCAGGCGGCAGTGACAACGATTTTCAATTGGAAATATAGATAGCAATATGTTTCCAAGTGAAAATAGACCTCACCCGGCATTTCTGCACCAATAAAAAGTCAGCCCTATTAGATAAATTCTAGTAATAAAATCATCAAATATGGATGGATTAACTATTGGGTTACCATCTAAAAATACGAAGTAAAGAGAAGTTTCAGACTAACAGCTCATAGGACGTAAGGTTATGATTGCTGTTAAGATATGAGAATAAAAAAAATAGACAGATAGAAAGATAAAAAGATTAACAGGTAGGCAGGTAAAATAAACTACAGGTGAAAAAGTAGAGAGATAGGCACCTAGGCAGGTGAAAAAGTACCCAGGTTAACACTGAGATAGGTAAATAAGTAGTCCAGCAGACAGATAGATAAATAGGTGATCTATAAATCCAATTATTATTGATTGAATCGATTATTCACACAAATCAAAAAGATCATGCAAGATGCCTTAAGGAATAATGCTTTTAACAACTAGTTTATATTTTTTATCACATCTTAATACAAACTCTTCAATTCAATAAGACTGATCTATTATGATCCTTAATGTAAAATATGAAAAATGTACGTGGTCAGATTTGCTGCATTAATTCAACCCTGTTAGGTTTTCGTATTAGGACATTACGACTTTTTATCCGTAGGGTAAGTTATTATAATTGTACAAA